TGCCCTCACCTCCTTCCTCCTCTCCTCCCTCCCCTCAGCACCCCTCCTCTCCCGGTCAGATGAATTGAAATCCCATCCAACAGAAAGATGCTGATTTGGATGTATTGGAGTTCATCTTTGGCTGCCAGTGGAAGATGCTCTGGATCCCCAGGGACAGAAAAGCCTTTTAAAACTTGGTCCCCGTTGCCTCACGCTGACTGCCTTGCGGTGGGGCTGTGTCAGCCCTTTGTGAGACCCTCCCCTCTGGAACCGGCCTATTAAGCCACTCCTCTGTTGCCAGGGTTGAGGCAGGCTGTCACCAGCTAGCCTGGGAAATGGTATTTATAGATCACAGTCCCTCCTACCCTTGGTCCCCAGCCTCTCCCCGAGCACTTGTCGGTGAGCTCCAATTATCTGTGAATGGAGGAGAGGGATCCTGGCAGGTCCAGAGGAAGCGGGGAATGTGATAATAGGCCCTTCACACACTCAAACTTGCAGTATTTTTCCATGATTTCAATCTATTTCTCTTCGCGTGGCCTGTTTCCTTCTTCTCCTTGCCTCACCGTCATAATGTTACATTCTAGTACGCAGCACCAAGCGTCGTGCCTCTGGGGTTAGAGAGCGTGGAGTGTGAACCCGGAGTAGCTCTGGGTCTCAGACGGGTGTCTCGCTCCTCCAGGGCTCAGTATCTCCATCTGTGACTCAGTCAGATGGCGTGTGTGAGCCTGCAGCCCAGTGCCTGGTATACAGTGAGTGCTCAATGGTAGTAAGCTGCCGATCCCCGTGGCTGGTTCGGGGTGCCACACGCCGTGGAGCATTGCCAAATTTCTGAATACCACTCACTCATCGCTGCCCAGAGCACTGGTTGCCGATGGTGTAGGAGATGGGCCTTGACCGAGGCAGAGTCCTCATTGTGGGAAGCCGCTTGCGTCCGGCACAAACACACAAAACCCTGGAATGAGCTCATTCTGGTTTTGCTCTTCCCCACAGAAGGAGGTCCTGGAAAGCAAAAGAAACGGTGGCCGAGCTGGGAAGTCAGGGTTGTCACCAGTAACATTGCGTCCTGTCTGTGACACCCAGCCTCCGCTTCCCAGAAAGGGCCGAGTCGCCC